CCCCCTTCCATGTTGGTATGGCAGGAGTCTCCCTTTTTTCTAACCCAGAGGTTAAACGGTTTCTTACTGGCCTGGAAAAGCTGTACCCATCGGTGAGGGCCCTGCTTCCCGCCTGGGACCTTAACGTGGTCCTCCACAGGCTTATGCTACCTCCCTTTGAACCGCTGGCCACGTGTTCCCTGCTGCACCTTTCATTGAAGGTTGCCTTTATCGTGGCCATTACATTGGCTCAAAGGGTGTCGAACTAAGGGCGCTAATTATAGACCCGCCCTACCTTGTCTTTTCCAATAACAATGTAAGGCTACGGCCTCATCCAGCCTTCCTTCCGAAGGTGGTATCACCATTCCACCTGTCCCGGGAGATAAATCTCCTGGGTGTTTTTCCCAAAGCCCATGCCTCCTCTAAGGAGCGGGCTCTGCACTCCCTGGACGCCAAGCGGGTGCTGGTGTTCTACATTGATAGGACCAGGCCGTTCCGTAAATCACATCAGTTGTTTATTGCATTCGGGGACAGGGTCAAAGGGTCGCCTATTTCCACGCAAAGGCTATCAAGATGGGTGGTGCAATGCATCACAGAATGCTATCACCTGGCTGGTAAAACCCCACCCAGGGTGAAGGCACACTCCACCAGGGCGCAGGCGTCCTCGGTGGCCTTTGGTGCCCAGGTACCGATCACAGAAATTTGCAGGGCAGCCACCTGGTCTTCCCTTCACACGTTTGCAACACACTATGCGCTACCTCTGCAGGCCAGGGAGGATGCAAGGGTGGGCTCTGCAGTCCTCAAATCTGTGATGTAAATATGTAAATATTGTTCCGGTTGTCTTGTTCTTAAATGGTACCTTATCAGTGTTGAATTGTTCAAATAAATCAGTTTATTGTTCACCTCACTTCATGACTCTGGTGGCATGACTGCTCCGACCCCTCCTCCGTGGGGTTTAGCTTGGTAGTCACCTACTTCAAATGGACATGAGCAACCTCTCGAAGAAGAAAAGAACGGTTTACTTACCTGTAACTGTTGTTCTTTGAGATGTGTTGCTCATGTCCATTCGACTCCCACCCTACCTCCCCTTCGTCGGAGTGTCCGGCAAGAAGGAACTGAGGTGGGGTAGCGCCAGCAGGGGTACTTATGCCCCGCTGTGGCGGCGCCACTCCAGAGGGCTCCCTGCCGGCGCTATGGGTACCTCTAGGGAAAACGTTCCGGAAGACGCGGTGCGCACACCTACTTCGAATGGACATGAGTAACACATCTCGAAGAACAACAGTTACAGGTAAGTAACCGTTCTTTTCCTTAGTACAAAAAAGGAGCTTGGATTTTATATGAAGAGGAAGTAGAATTCTGCAGAAATAAAGTAATCTCTGAAATATCTATAGGCATTTTTCTAAGTGGTGAACACCAGTTACTTACATGAAATTGTGTCTGTCTCTTGGTCTAGGCGCATGAATGAAAACTTTTATTTTCCAGAATCTTAGCTTCATTGCAAGATATAATATTTGGTGTATATATACACTTCCGGACTGTACAGTGGCATTTTTACCTCTCAAAATTTAAGTATTTAAAACTGACTTTGTTAAAGCCATTTTTTTAGATTTTTTTTTTCCTTTTTACATACAGGCAGTCCCCAGGTTACGTACAAGATAGGGACTGTAGGTTTGTTCTTAAGTTGAATTTGTATGTAAGTCGGAACTGGTACATATTGTAGGGGAAACTCTAGCCAAACATTTCTCCAGAGCTCAGTTTTATTCTCCCACACCTCACTTCCCTCAGTCCTTTATTCTCAAGCTGAGATGTCTGCTGAGAAAAGCCGCTCCGCGTCTCCCTGGTCTGCTGGGGGGAAGCAGCTAGTGCGGGGTTGCCTCACCCCATTTGTAAGTAGGGATCCGATGTAAGTCGGATCCATGTAACCCGGGGACTGCCTGTACTTGTTAATCTTCTTGATAGTGAAATCTAATTCCTGATTAGTGATAAGCATTCATCTTTAGAATGTAATATGTGATTTATTTTCTCTATAATTCAAAGAACAATTGGTTGTTAATGATCATTATAAGGAAAAACTATTCTGATTGAGCCCTGAAGGTGTTTAATGCTTGTGTTCAGACATCATTTCATGGCATGCTCTGTTGCATGTTTACCAGGCACTTACTGTTAGCGAAAGTTTGACCATTTATATTCAGAGTTTTCTTTCTTGAGGAGCAGCGTACCATATACATAACACAGTTTCAGTTAACAGTCTCAACTTCATATGTTTTAACGAAAATAAAGTTGACATGTTTTGTTTGTTGGTTTTATTTGTTTCCCCTCTCCTGTTTTTAAGTGCAATATAATTTGGTTTTGACAGGAAATCTTGAGAAAAAACTGTTCTCAGAGACAAAACTATATGCTCAAGAGGGAAGAACAGCAAATAGGTGGAGTGCACCAACTTAGTTTGTCACTGCCACCAAAAGGGGAATGGGTAGAAAGAGCTTAGATAGTGGACCTGAGAATGGTAAGCCATAGTCAAAAAATTTATATAATTTTTATACTAGATCTGTAATATATTATTATGTTTTCATTTTTCATTGTGCTCTTTTGCCAAAACGAGCCACACTAAGGGTACATCTAGATTACATGCCCCTGCTGACAAAGGCATGTAAAATAGGCTATCTGACACAGTCAATGAAGCAGGGATTTAAATATCCTCGACTTCATTAAAATAAAAATGGCTGCCGCGCTGTGCCGGCTCAGCTGATCGTCGGCACAGCATGTGGGTCAAGACGTGGCTCGATCAACAAGGGAAGCCTTTGTCGACTGCTCCTGTAAACCTCGTTTCATGGCAGCCATTTTTATTTTAATGAAGTTGGGGATATTTAAATCCCCGCTTCATTGACTATGTCGGGTAGCCTGTTTTACATGCCTCTGTCGGCAGAGGCATGTAATCTAGGGTTACCGTAAAATACAAAATGGTATCAGTTGGAGATCTTTGTGAAGGTGGGTTTTTTCATTTTGTAATAATAGTGACTTATTGGAAATTACACTAATGTTGTAAAGTTAAGCAGTTATTTAACATTTTGCATTGTTAATTTTTAAAATATTTAAACAGAATAAATCGTGTTATGCTAGGGTAGCGTACACTGAAATGCATCCAGTCCTGAAACTTTTATAAGAAATATTGTTGCAGCAGCAGTTGCTCTCGAGCAAAAGAATTAATGTGTATTTTATCATTCTTTCCTTTTTAAATAATATGTTTGGTTTGAAACAGATCTTTATAGTCAAGACCTGAGTCTTCCATCAGGAGCTTTGCAGGCCGAAAGCTTTTATAACTGGGCCCTTCCTATGTAATTTAAGTGTTGTTTCTATTGCAGCCCTTGGATATTCCTGATGGTCGAAGAGCGCCCTTGCCTGCTCATTATCGTAGCAGTAGCACACGCAGCATTGATACACAGACTCCCTCTGTCCAAGAGCGCAGCAGCAGCTGCAGCAGCCACTCACCATGTGTCTCTCCCTTTTGTCCCCCGGAATCTCAGGATGGGAGTCCTTGCTCAACAGAAGATTTGCTATATGACCGTGATAAAGGTGAGAGTAGAACGGTCCATTTGAGCATACCGAGTGGTGTCCTGCCTTTACTTCTACACCTTAATTTCCTCATTAGATCAATGTTTTTCATTTTTTGTTTGGTTGTTATAGAAGGATTGCGGATGAGGACTCATCTTCAAGTTGGTTTTGTTTGTATACATGTTTTCCCCTCTTGTTTGTGAAATTTCACAAACATCTTCCATAAGTATGTCAGAGGAGCACAGCAAAGAGTCATAAGTACATAAGAAGGGTATAGCACAAAGAATGCAGAAAGCCACATGTATATGTTCAAAAAAGTGTTTCATAAAGGATTACATAGAATCTATATTCATTGTGTGTTGCTTGATCAGAATGGTGAATCTGTGAATGTTTATGAACCTGTTGAAAATAAATTATTTTTGCATTTTTCTAACATTACATCTGTAACTATCCAGTGAGATGCAAGAGAAGCCACATTTAATACTTAGAAATTGCTGATGGAGAACTGAATTTACATTTGGGTTGGGCTGCATTGCATACTCAAACAAGTTTTCAGAATGACTTCTCGGTTAATTTTATATTAAACCCACTGTCAATATTTTTCATTTTTCTCTGTCGAGATTGTATACGTCAGTAGAACTTGGTAGAGATGGAAGTTAGGGTTCCAATATTTGAAAGAGTTAACAGATATAGTATGTAATACACAATGATGTAAGTAGCATTGCTGTACACTGTAGTGTCATTAGCCTTTAGTAGTAGCATCTCAGTATGCTAGAGAGAAAATGTCATTGTGTGAATGGAAATCCCAGCATCCATAAATTTCATTTCCAGTACTTAGAGTGACAGAATAGTGTGTTTAATTTCAATTAGAAATCTAATTTGTTTTAGGACTAGTCAGATTCATTTTCCATTTTTGTAATTTTTTATTTGTTTCCCAGGTTATGCTTTTAGTAACTTGTCTTTGTTTCCTGATTGCCTACTATTTCTACATATTAGAATTTTGCTCACAGTATGAGTTGGTTCACTACACAACATCTGTTGCATATGTGGTACCATTGTTCTGTCAATTTAAATGTTGCTGTAAACCTGAGTAAAAATTCTAAAATGTCCCTATGTGACTGACCAGAGAGACTGATCATTTGAGTGGGAATTTCAATTTACTTTTATATGTAGCTTTTCTTGATGAATTATTTCAATAGCTATAAGCTTCTGTTTAGGAAAGTTGCCTAAAGTAATGGAGTGTTACTCCTTTTCAGCCCATTCTTGCTATAGATGTAAAATAAAAAAAACATAGTTCAATTGGATAAAAGCAATAATTATCTGAAGAAATTTCAGTTTTTAGAACAGTTTCCTTTACACCACTAACAAATGTAGGCTTCTACTTTATTGAGATAACTAATGTTTATTGTTAAGCGCATGCATAAATGTTTATAGGATTACTAAACATAGTCTAAATTACCTTTGGGTATATGTGTTTAGAAGAATCATCATCTAAGCTAGTATCTTTAGTTTCAGGTCCACAAGAGATCTCTTTTTGGGTATCACTCCTAGGATGAAGTTTAATACACTTGAACTTCTTTAATCAAGCAACCTCGGGAATACCAGAGGGCAGGGGTAGGCAAAAAGGCAAAAAAAAAGGTCCTGCCACTCTTCTGCCCCCAAGCCAATCGAGGCTGGGGACAGGAGAGCACATAGTCTCCTCCTCCATTGCCAGGGTCGTGCGGCACTTAGTCAACTCTGGCAGTTGATTCTTAAATTCCGCGTGCTCCTTACAGGGTGGGGTAGGGAGTGAGAGACTGTGAATTCTCCATCAGGACCTGGGATTGAGGGAAGCGCACAAAGTCTCCTCCCACCTTGCCCCTGCCCTGCAAGGGGCACACGGCAGTTTGACTCTAAGCTCTTGCAGGGCAGGGGAATGCACAAAGTCTCCTCCTGCTGCTAGGGGCTCGGGCGCCTACAGGGAACTACCAGCTGTTCAGAATAGCTGGCAGTTCTCTCTATTGCAGGAGGAGCAAAGATTTCACCATTCCCCCACCCCCAGGCCAATCAGGGTCTATGGGCAGGGAAGCATGGAAGTGCTCTGGCCCTTCCTTGTCCACTCGAGACCCCACCCCTTCTGGGGTAGCCCAGGGCCACTTCAGAAATTTCTGAAGTGTACTCCCATCTACAATTATTGCCCACCTCTGCCATAGGTTATGCTGGATGACAAATTTTGCTGAGCCAAGGAAAGTGCTGCAGGATCTGGGTGTGAGAAGGTGGGATACTTGCCCAGGGACACGTGTGGTTCCACGCTACCCGCCACTCTCAGGCACTGCCGACCCTGGGGGAAGTGGCTGTGTGTGCAGCCTTTGCCCTAGCTGGAGGACGTTATGTGTCTGTGAAAGGGTTAGGCAGTGGATTCCACAGTGGTAATCTGTATTCAAGGTTTCTGAATGTCTTAAGTAAGAAATCATTTTCTTTTTTAACTAAGATTTTGGAGTTGATTCACTAGTGTACTAAAGTACAGTGCAACACTGAGTGGTGCAGTTAAGGTTTAAAGTTTTTCCTGTGTATATTTCTCTGCTGATTTTTTTTTAAAATACACCTTTTATTATGATATAATTCAGATAGAATAAGATTGTCTTTTTATGGGGAATAGTTACTCTTTTTGTTCCTGAAGAATGTTACTTGTCTGTCTTTAACTCTGGAAGAAGGTAATAGTGGGGAAAAAAAATTAATTGTGGAACTGTTTGTCATCTAAAAAAGATCAGACTCATCTAAAAAGGGTTGGTACAATGTGCGAGTTGGCCTGGCTCCAAAACCAGCAGGGACCAAGAGGGCAAAAATGGAAGTCCTTTTTCATTAATGGGCAGTATATCTGTAAATTCTGTGTTGCTTTTGTCCCAGTCACATCACTAATTAAAAAAAAAAAAAGAGTTAACTCAGAGTAAGTTTGCTTAAATGTGTTTCCTCTAAACACATGTGCTAAAATGCAAAGAAATGGATTCAGTTGCAGTTAGGAATGCACAAATCTAAACTTGACAACAAATGAAGAGAGTAAACATTCTATAAGAAAATCTTTTATTTTTGCAGAAGTGTAATGGTGGTGTTTTTATTTAAATGTTTTAAGAATGTGAGTTTTAAAGGTTTTTTTTTTTTTTAAGTTATATGTCTTGGATTATCTTCTGGTTAGAAAATGAAGACAAACTGAAATATTTTTCAAATTTGAATTGCTTTTCAACTGTCAGATTTTTGGAGGGGAGGAAGAAAGCTGACAGTTGTTAGTTTTGCTGCTGAGCTTCAAAAGTAGCAGTGGCATTTCCTATGTACATGGGTCTTAGAACTGGCTATTGGATTTTTAATGATTTTTAGCCTGAGTACATATTCATACAGCATTGGTGACAGACTCATAGTTTCTAAAGTTATACAATCTGTAATAGTTTTATTGTGCCTAGCTTGCAGATGCTATTCTATAGAATAGATTAATTATCATTATGAAAATACTAAGACAAAGGTTTTTTAATTTAACCAATATGCAAATTAACCTTGCTCTGTTTGCTGCACTCTATTTTTGGATGTTACGTGAGGACATGTAAACAAGACAAACAAATTCACTGTGTTGGGAAAACTAAGCAATTAGCTCTTATTTAGAAGGGATACTACTTATACAGGAAGGACAGGATATCTGTTCTCGATAGAAGCATCAGACTGAAGTGATTAAAATTAGCTGTTTCTCCTCCTTCCAGTTCTCACCAAACATTACATCACAGAACGACCAGGGCCATGCTATTTTTTAGCAAATTTATAATCAGTTTCTATAGACAGTTCAGTAAATTTCTGGCATTGCTAATCAACAGTCAGATGAACATATGCCCTTCTTTGCAGTCAGACATTTTAAGATTTGAAAAGCTTTCCACTACATGAAAACAATGTAAGTATTGTAAATTCTAGATGATATTTTCTGCTTCTTCCCCAATTTGGGCCTCGTTTTCTCTTCCAGTGGGGGAAAAAAACGTGCTTTGGTTTACGACTGCAAAATATAATTAAGGATATTCAGCTGCTTCTGAATGTGTTTCTTAATAGAAAATGAAAGTTAATCAAGCCTTATGAGCAGTAAGGGGAGCCAACTCCACTGTCCAGACACGATACGACTACATTTCTAAAGCATCTTTTCCTTCCTCTGTTAAACTGTGCTTTGGCCACAGGCCTTCATTTGCTGCTCTTTGAAACCGATCAGCTGTTTAGATTACATTTCTATAAGGAACTACTTAATCTAATGAATTTTTCAGTAGAAAATGAAAGTAAACTCTAGGAAGGGAAACTATCATAGTTTCTGCGATGGGACAGTGATTCTAAATTCGAGAGCATGTGATGAAAAAAATTCAGTGGCAACTGTTTTAAAAAATGTTTAGATTTTAGGCTGGTAAGAGGCACTTCCAGTGCATTAAAACTATCAACTCTTCTTCAGATACAGATTCATGACATTGGTGTCACCCTACTGCATCTAATATTTAGGTGTAGATACACTATGCGATTAACCAATGTGTAGATAGATTACACGATTAACCAATAAGCCCGGTTTTATCGGTTAATCCTGTCATCTGCACGCATTCCTTCGCCTCCTTTCTGCCTCTGTATCAGCACCTAATCTGCTTGTTACACCCTTGCCCCCCAAGCTGCTGCCTCTGATAGAAAAGCAGCAACATGAAAGGTGAGGGGGGCAGGCGGGATCAGATATGCATGGGGAGCCAGCTCTTTGAACCCACCTGCCCCCCCTTGTCCCTACGGGGGAAGGAGGAGACAGGCAGTAGCATTGGGGGACAGGGGAGGCTGCTTCGTGGCAGTAGATGCTGTCTGTATGGGGTCCAAGCTCCCTGTGGGCAGATGCTTCTCTGGCATCCCACAGAGCAGCTTGTGTCTGCAGCAAGCCTGGGGACCACCCCAGATAGAGGCTGCTGCCACGGAGCAGCCTCTGTCTGCAGGGAGCTCGGCCCCCCTGTCTGTATCACGGGGCAGCAGCATGGGGCAGCTGGTGGAGCCAG